ATAAATTAAAATCCAGGGGCTGGGGATTTAGCTCAGTGGCAAAAGCGCCTGCCTGGCAAGTGCAAGGTCGTGAGTTTGGTTCCTGGTACCGGAGAAAAACCAAAAAACAAAAAAAAAAAAAAAAAAAATTAAAATCCATAAAATCTTCCTTTATGTGCCATTTATATACTAGGTTAAACCACTTTACCCTTAGCCAGTATTAAACAATATGCTAGAATTCTTGGAATGTGCTAGTTCAGCAATGATGTCCTAAAAGATAGAAATAAAAGCTTTAAAGTATTCTGTGTTCTGGGAAACAAACATTAACTTGAATAAATATAAGTAGCATTTTGTTGCATGTGGTACTTCACAGAGTCTTTGATGTAATGATAGGCATGTTGAGAATCTCTATAAGAAGGAAAAATAATGGGCAGTGCTTCCTAAATTGATTTGCCCTTTACAAGAGAACACCTATTAACATCCACCCCAACAGCATTCTTCCAACATACTCTGGGAACTGCTGAGCTAATTCAATTGCTGCTCAAATCTATCAGCTGAACAGCACTGGGTAGAAACCATATTTTCTCCTGGGTTGAAGAAATAAATTTGCTTTGTTTTAAGATACCATCAATTTGGTAAATGCTCTTAACATGGTAGGGAAAAAAAAAAAACTGTACATTAAATGTGTTCATAATGTTTAAGAGCCATCTGGGTTTCTGAAATTAGAAAATGCTAAAACAAGAAAAAAATGGTTCTTAAAATTGAACTACTACAGTAGTAGCCAGGGTGTTTGTTTAAAAGTACCCTCCAGGAAAGTTTCAGTCTGGTTCCAGAAATGGGCCTTGACTCTCTGTGACCCAGGAATGAGAGTCCTGACATCCAAAGAGAAATGAAGTATCCTAATGTAATGATTGTCTCACTACAGATTTATTAAAGGGAGCAAAGATATCAGAGGGTCATTGCTAAGAAAACCAAACAACAGTGATAAGGAAAACTTCTTTGCTTACACGGGAAAAATCCCCATGGCAGAAAATAGAGGAACACCCAAAATATACACAGCAAATTATGGGAAGGGATTTTAAAACAGAAATGTTCCCTACTTATGTTAAGTGGGAAAAAAGCTTTTAAACAAGCTACCAAATCCAAAGAATTACAGCCCAAAGGCTCTCCTTTTCCAAGCACTGATTACTGCCAGGAAGGCAGGTTTGGGCCTTGGATTTTATCTACTAAAACATGAAGTGGTGCACTTGAGCTTTTGAATAGATTTCTGATTTACTGATAGGTTTCTCTAGTGCTAATCATTTTAACACTAAAACAAAGCACAAATGGAAAGCTGAGATAAAGCATGATGGTCTGTTAAGATTCCATTAGGCATAGCAACATAAGAACTAGTTAAAGTGCTGAATGACCTTTTTCAGACACCTTGTATATTTGGGTGCTACCTGACATTAATTTTATTTCTTCCGGGCTGAGGATTCAGCTCAGCGGCACAGCACTTGCCTGGCAAGTGCGAGGCTGTGAATTCGACTCCTGGTACTGGGAAAAAAAAAAAAAAAAAAAAAATTTATGTCTTCCTTAGGATGTTATCTTAGGCACCCTCCCAACTCAAGCAGGTTTCTGAAGTCTCTAATGCAAAGAAGTTAAAGTTCAAGGCCACAATCTAGGTTACAGCAAGTCACGGAAAACTCTAAGCATGGTTTGGAAGACAAGGAAAAGTTTGGGTTGAGTTCAAATAATGCTTAATCATAAGATAACTCATCCATGGCTCTCCCCTGACACTACCCAGCTGCCCGCAGAAGCTGCTTTTCCTCCAGTTTGGAGAGTAAGACAGGGTCTCGGCCACTGCCAATGCTACCATCCTCCAGAAGGCATGGAAGGTCATCATGAGACAACCTGTCACGTGGTGTACACTACACTCCTCAGAAGCCATGGGTAAAGCTGTCCATTCAGAGAAGACACCACTGGGAATATTTTTCAAAGTTGTTCCTAAGTGATCTTACCTGTCCTATGGTTCAAGCTGTCAGAACCATACACAACCTCTGCTGCACAAGGGTCTGAGAAAATCAAGAAAGGAAAAGGTAGGTTTTGGATCTAGACAGATGATAGACAGATAACAGATAGACAGATAGACAGACAGACAGATAGACAGACAGACAGATGGAATGAAAAGAAGAACCTATCTTTTTGCAAAATTCATTTATTTGAAGAGTAATCAGAATCATTAAAACTGGACAACAGTAAGTGGAACAGGTGTTGAAACATAAAATGCTTTAAGTGAGTACTTCTAAGAAGCCCTGTCTCTATATAGGAAGGGCTAAAATGACGGCATTTCAGAACAAACCTCACTGCTTTCTCTCATCATAGTAGTAATTTGGTGGGCATGATCTCTAGACTAGCAGCCTTAGAATCATCTAAAATTAGTTAGAAATGTAAATTGCTGGTCTTTCTTTCTAGACCTGGACAATCACAGTCTCTGGAAGGAGAGCCTAACAATCTGTGGTTTAACAAGCCCTCCCAGGAGATTTGATGCTCAAGTTGAGAATCACTGCCCAAGGGTCAAGGAAGATACACTCTTGGGGTGACTCAGTAGCCTAATTAAATCCTTATTGACAGTGACAGAAAATTTCTCCTATCCCTGCCTCTGACTGGCACTGACTTTTAATCTCAAAGACCAATTTTGCCAGTGAGGGTGCTGAGTCCTTAGTTGAAGGACACCATGAGAAGTCCAGTCAGAGTTCCATCCCAGGGCTTGCTGACTTCCTCATCAACCTTGGATCTCTAACCAAGATATTGCTGACATGGTAATGCTGGAGCCTGGGACTGTTAATGTTGATAAGACAGTGAGGGTGGTCTTCCCATCTACACCACACTGGCTCCCTCAGAGAGATATGAGAACTTAAATTCCAACTCTTCAAATCAAATCAAAAGGGAACTGGATTAGAGGAAAGGTGGGAGGAGAGGGCAGTAAATAGGCACTTTCAAAGAGCTGAGTCAGTAAACTTTCCAGTACTTAGCTGGGAAAAGACTCAGGTGCTTTGTTATAATTAAGAATTGGTTAATTCCAAAAAAATGAGTGAAAAGCATAGAGATAATCACTAAGGCATGAATGGTGCTTTAAAGTTTTCTTAGCACTTTTCATTTCTGTTATCTTATCCAAGGCTCACAACAACCCTGTAATGGAGAGGGATAAGGTCATGATTAGCTCCATTTGACAGAAGAGAAAACTGATGTTGTAAGTGCCTAGCAATTTGTCTATCAGCTCTGTCAATCAGCTGTAAAGCTGAAACCTGACCCTTTAGATCTGTCTGCCTCTGGCACCTGTGAAGTGTATCCACATTACCTGATTCCTGTATCTAGGAATCTGTCCCAAAGTGGCTAGACCCTAGAGAAAAAACGAAGAGGAAAAACATTCCGCAGCAATGGTGGGCTCCTAAAACGGGGCACTTGAGCAGTGTGTAGGTGCTCCTTTAAGAACTTAACGCACAAACCCAACAGCCAAGGTGTTCGGCCAAAAAAGGGCAAAAGAGAGACAGAAAGGCATATTTCTAGCCTGCATAATCATTTCTGGACAGATTTCCACTAGCAGCCTCCGAGGCAAACAGTGGCTCCCGGCCTGGGCTGACACTCCTCCACCCAACCCTACCCCACTCCCGCCCCACCCCCACCCCCGGGTTTTGACAGCGCAGCTCTGACTCGTGCGCAGGCAAAAACCCAAAACTCAAAACAAGAAGTGAAAAAAGTGGAGCCCGGAGAAACCGTAGGCATCTTCCACACCCTCGCAGTCAGCGCAATGCCAGTTCAGAGCCCGGGGGCGGCCCAGAATGCTAACGTACGACTACAGGGGATGGGAGAGAAAGTGTCTTGGGGGCCCGCTGGCACTATTCTTTCTCACCCAGTCTCTGTGGGAAAAATAACAGAAAGGAGAGAGGACTCGTCATTAAGTCCTGGGCCAGAATCAAAGGCAGACACACCTCACGCATGCTGATTTAAACTCTTCACCTGACCCTCTGGGTCCTGACCTGTGCGACCGTGAGCGGGGCGGGGTGTTATCAACCTGAGAAAGGTAGCAGGAAGAGTCGGGCGCCCACCTACTCCAGCCGCGCGGCCCCACCTCGTGTGTGCGGCTCCATTCTGAGCGCACCGCAGCAGCGGATTAGGAGCCGGCGCCCTTGACCGCGTCTGAGGTTGGGGAGGGGGCATCGCCCAGTGCTAAACGTCCCAGGGGCAGGGAGCTGTGCCCGCCGAGAAGCCCGCCTCAGTTTTAGTTGCAATGATTTCCCTAGAAGATGTCAGGATTCACGAAGAAAAGGGAAGACTCAGTGATTTCAGCAGGGGGTGGACGAGCTCAGCCGAGGGGAGCAGCGACCCAGTGAGGTCCCCGCACGGGAAGCCTCCAAGAGGCACCTCCCGGGCCGTACCACCATAGAGGCAGTGCCCGGAGAAGGGCTCCATCCTCAACTTTCTCTGAGGAAACTGCTCCGCTGGTCTGAGGTCCGCCCAATCTTGCCCGCACCCCGGGTCCCAGGTTTGGACAGAACCACGAGCCGAGACCCCGCCGGCGCGCACAGAGCAGCCGCGCCGCGGCTCCAGCCCCGCTCCCGCCAACTGGGAGGCACCGCTCCGGGCGCTGCCGCTC